CGAGGGGGGCTCTGGAGGAAGGTGAAGGAAGCTCAGCAGAGGCAGGAGCGGAGCTTGGTGCAGATGGAGATGGCTGTGCGGCGCTTTCGGGAGCAGGTGGGTGCAATAAGACGCGCTTCTCCCCTCCACCCCCGGGGGGGGGGGGGGGGAGGATGCGGATGGGCAAAGCCGCCTCCGCCCGCCCGGCGATGGCTCCTCACCCTGGTCCCTTCCCCTTAGCGTACCCCCGGGGATAGCGGTCGTGCAGCCCTTCCTGCGGGCAGGGGGGTGCCTCCTTGCAAGGGGCAGCTGCTGGGCTGCTCTCGCAGAGCTGGCCCGGCTGCGAGACGGCATCTCGGCTCCTAATATGGAGCTACGGGGATTTAGTTTTATTTTATGCCTTTCTAAATCTATGTGTGCATACACACACACACCCAGCAATGCAGCGCTCCCCTCTGTAGCGGGGACGGGGAAGAAATGCTTCCCGGGGCAGCCGGTGCAGCGGGGGATAACGGGGAGCGGCGCAGGCGCCAGCAAACGGTAACCGGCAGCGAGGAGAGGAAAATCCCTGCCCTTCGTCTGAAAGCTTCCCGGCCTCTTCCGCCGTGGTAGGAGGCTCAGCCTGGCTGCCGAGGAGGCGGTCGGAAAAGGCGAGAGGCAGTGTGTTATCAGCAGAGGGCAAAGTGCAGCCGCGCAGCCCGAGGACGCTGCCCGCAGGGACGGGATGCGATGCCACCGGTGCCGAGGCGCGGTGCCCAGAAATCCGGCTCGACCACGCCGTGCCCCCTGCGATCCCGTCTGACTGCCCGACCTGCGGCTGGAGTGGACTCGCTCGGGTTCAGAGTCCGGCTTGGGGGATGAGGTTTGATGCTTTTTTCATGGCATTTAGTAGGTGGCGAGGAAATCTCTGCTGACCCAAAAATTACCTGTCTGCTGTCAGCCGAGGGGCTCCCTGGTTTGTGCGCTTCCCTGTAGGATATCTTGGTGATGCCAGGAGAAGAGCTGGCACGAGGTCCGATTTTGTTTCTTGCTGGAGCAATGTCTATAACCATGCTACCAATTCCCACTGTAATTCAGCAGAGAACATTGCACTGAGCAGTTCCCCCAGGCCTGGCCAAGACCTGTCTGAACAAGGCTGTGCAAAAGGCTTTCTCTTAAACAGCAGGTGCTTGGTGAGACCGGTCTGGCCAGGAAGACAAGGCTTTAGAAAGCCTGGGTTACTACTGGCCCTGCAGGTTTCACACCATGCTCACTGGTATCAGGTAGGAGCAGGATTGCGGTCTTGAGGCAGATACTGGATTTGGCCACTAAATGGCAGATATTTTTTGGATGGGTTACAGTGGGCACCAACAGGAGAGGAGGAGCCCACCAGCTGAGGTAGAGGTGTATCATTGCCTGTTCGACCTTTCCCGTAGCATCCTTCCGTGAACATGACCTCCATCCTCTCTCTGCCTTTGCCGGAGCTCTCCAAGAAACTCCGGGATGGCTCCCTCCCTCCGGAACACGTCTTCTATGCCTACGTGGGCAAGGTGAGGAGCAAGGGCAGCGGGGCAGCCTCTCGCCCACGGTGGGGATGGCTTTTTTTGGGAGAAGCCCAGCACAAGGGTCAAACGCTGGTTCAAACCTGGTACAAATGCTGAGCTGTCACTGCTCGCTGGGTAGTGCTGGGCCCTTCTGCGCTTTTCTGTGAGTGAGGGGAGAGCTGGGCATCTGGCTGTCATGGTTCTCAGCTTGGTTTGGAGCAAAAGGGAGCAGCAAGCTGGAAAGCCCATACCTTCCCAGGGCAGGTGTAGCTATAGGGAAATTGCAGAGTGCTGCTGTTGTCTCCCCTCCATCTCCAAATGGGTTGGTAAACCTTGAAGACTCGGTGTCCACTTTCATTCTCTACTTGTGCCACAATGCCCTGATCACCTCCTGGGTTCCCACTTTGGGGTTATAATTTTATGCCACCCCAGAAGCTCAATCAAGAGAATAGCCTTTGGTGTTCTGCTGGGCTGAGTGCCTCTCTTCATCACGCACCAGCTGGTGCTATGGCCCCCCTGTGTCCAGACAACATTTTGGAGTTTGGCATGAAAATGTCTTGAAAAGGAACAGAAAGGGCTGCCCTGATACTGACTGCCCAGATGGGGAGGTGGAACATGGGGAAGAGGCAGGCATCCTTTGCAATACAGAAGGCTGTTGTGCAGCGCTGCGGGCTGTGTCTCACCTGCGGGCTTTGCCTGCTTTCCCCAAGGCCCTCCAAATCGCCACAGAAACCAACTGCATCACGGAGTATCTGCAGGAAAGCGAGACTCAGCTCCAGAAAGCGAAGATGACAGGGAAGCTGGGTTTGCTCTATGGGGTGCCTGTCAGCATCAAAGACTCCATCAACTGCCAGGTACCACCAGCACGATACCGCATCTATCCTGAGATCCCTGTGGTTTGAAGCTTGCTGGCAGGGGGAGGTTTGACCTCAGCATCTGGCTGGACTTTGTCATAGCTGATGTGGGATGTCCTGCCCTGGCAGGTGATGGGGTTTGCTGCCCATCTCCCATACGAGCCAACAGAGAGCTGCTCAGATTTACTACGAATATACTATGCAACATGTGCATGATGGATGGGTTGTGGAGGTGCATGTGTGTGCTTATATATATAGATAAAAATATGGGGCAGGGGGAATTGCAATCCTCCATTTGGAAACCTCATTGTCCTGTGTTCCCAGGGCCATGATTCCACGTTAGGGTTTATAAAAAACCTCAATAAACCCGCGGCAGAGGACAGCGTGGTGGTGCAGGTGCTCAGGAGACAGGGGGCAATTCCATTTGTCAAAACCAACGTTCCCCAGTCCCTCATCAGGTAGGTGAGCGCTCCCTTCCCTCAGCACAGCAGCAGTCCTCCCTCCCTCATCTCAGGCAAGGGTTTCTATCAAGTCTAATTTTAATTTCCCACTTCTTCTTAAATAACAACCAGTCCCTATCCTTAGTGTCTTTAAGTTTTACTTAAAAAAGTAAACACATTTACACTAAGGATGAAAATTAACTCTAGTTCCAAATGAAATAAAGAAGCAAAAGAGGAGAAGAGGAGAGAAATCGCTGCCCTTCTTTCTTGTGCTGGGTGTTTTTAAATAACTTTTCTTTTTTTTTTTTTTTTTTTTAAATTAACCCCTCAAAGGTGGTCCTGTTAGCTACGCAGTGCAAACACGTATTCGTGGAAGGGGAAGCTAGTTAGCTAGTTAAGCTAATGACCTTAAACTATCCTGCCCCCAAACCTCCTGCTGTATCTGGCAAGACCACTCTTGATGTCATTGATATGGGGTGAGGTCGGGTGTGCTCTGCTGGACAGCCACCCTGCTAGTGTCCATGTGTCCTGCCAAGGGAACTCTGGCAAGGCTCCTCCATAGATAACTATTGCCCAACCATATGAAATGCCTTCCTTAAGGCAACACGGCAATGATTGACCGCGTTTAAAAAAAGCCACACAAAGAGGTTGTCCCAGGGATTATCAGATTTTGCACTGGTTCTTGGGGGAGTCCGATGTTCAAATATCACTGCAGCTGGCATTTGGCTTGTTCCCAAGCAGGGGCTCAGCAATGCCCCCCCAGGGTGGGGGGGCCTGGGCCTGCTCCAGGTGGGCTGCTTTGGATGTCCGCTGGCCCTCGGGAACGCCTGAACAGGGAGCCTTTCCAGGAGGTTTGATGTATTTGTGCTGCCAGAGGGTCTGTCTGGGGAAGGCTTGACAACACTGAAATTAGCTGGCAGTAAATCCAGGCCCTGGGACCGCCGTGAAAAGGCTGGTGGTTTTCACAGGAGCTTTGGGAAGCTCCCTCAGACTAAGTAATGTCGATGTAACAACTAGTGAATTATGCAATTACCTTTTGAAGGTCTTTTTGTAGTGACCGGGGTCCACATCAGCAGATATCTACATTCCTCTCATTTGCAATCTCTCTCTCTCTCTCTAGCTATGACTGCAAGAACTTAATCTTTGGTCAGACGTTCAACCCTCTACTCTACACCAGAAGCCCTGGAGGCTCCTCTGGTGGAGAAGGGGCACTTGTAGGAGGAGGTGGGTCAATCCTGGGCTTTGGTACGGATGTAGGAGGGAGCCTGCGTTTTCCCGCTGCCTTCTGTGGGATCTGTGCACTCAAACCCACCGGGAACAGACTCAGGTACTGCGAGTAACGCAGTGATGTCTCTGGGTGAGACCCACCCTACCGACTGCTGTGCTGGGATGCTCCTGTGGGCAAGGGGAAACCTGGGAGGAACTGGGAAGGGCTCACTTCTCCGTCCTGCCCAGACATTTTCTGGGGCCTGTATGGAGGGAAGCATTGGTTCCCCCAGAATGGAGACAGGGAAACCTCTCATCTGCATGCTAAGGGGGTGGTTGTTCCTGACTGATGTAAATCATTCTGGCCTAGGTTGGGTCTCTCTTGGGCTTCCCCTTGGCCCTTCCTTCTGCCAGCCTCTGCATTTGCAAAGGGAGGGCAGTGTTTTCATTAACCACTTGCTACTGCTTAAAGCCTTTCCCTTCTGTGAAAACTACTCAGCTGCTGTATTTTATGTGTCTCTTTTCTTTGCAGTAAAAAAGGAATCATTTCTGGTGTCCTTGGGCAGAAGGCAGGTAGGAATTGATGGTTGTCCCCAGGGAGGGCAGTAGGGCAGGGGTGAGAAGGACACTCAGCTGGTTATGGGGGACCTTCTCCAACATGTTCACAGAGGGAAGCAGGTTCCCTTTCAGGGACTCTTTCAGAGAGCCACCCCCATACCATGATTCCTGAGAAACTGGAATATGCATGAGCCGAGAGGAGCAGTCTGCGTAACACATAAACCACAACACACCCTGTAACCCCCAGGTTGCTTCATTGTCTGCCAGTGCTTCATGGGAGGTGGAATTAGCTGTCAAAGGGGGTGTCTTATGTTGTCCTTGTGTCGTGATCAACAAAGCTTTTTGTTTAATTTTGTAAATCATGAAATGGAGATGTGAGGGCACATATTGATGCATAACAACTCTGGGTCCATAACCATGGGTCTGTTGGTGGAAAGGCACCTGTAGGCATCCGCAACCCAATTCTCAAATTGGAACTGTTGCCAACACTAGACTAAGTCAAAACGATGCCAAGAGGTCCTGCTTTTGCAGGACATGCCCTTGAAAGACCCCCAACCATGAATACTCTCTTCTGGTCTTTTCCAGTGGTCGCAGCAGTGGGGCCGATGGCAAAAGACGTGGAGAGCCTGGCGCTGGGCATGCGGGCGCTCCTATGTGAGGACATGTTCAACCTGGACAGCACAGTGCCCCCCCTTCCCTTCAATGAAGAGGTAAAGGACCTCAAAGGGGGCAAAGGTCTCTAAGAAGAGCTGCCATCGCTCAGGCTGAAAACACCAGTGGCTCATGGGAGCCCTCCAGGACCCGTTCCAACCTGCCACATGCTGCGGGTGGGCACATGGGCAAGAGAAGTGCTGCTTTCCAGACTCGCCCTGCAGCATGGGTATACTGTTGGCTCCTGATGCCACTGACATCCTTCCAGCTGGTGTTCTCCCTTGTTCTGCAGGTGTATTCCAGCACACAGCCCCTCCGCATAGGCTACTATGAAACCGATTTCTTCACCATGCCAAGCCCTGCCATGAGACGTGCTGTTCGAGAGACAAAGCAGCTGTTGGAGGATGCTGGCCACACGGTAGGATGTTGCATGGACCCAACAGTCATGCTGCATCTATTCTTCCTTCCTGCCATGTCTTTGGGACCCATGTGTGAACATCAAGCAAATTTGGCAGGGAAGGAGGGCATGGAATCCACTCAGCTTCCTACAGCTTTTATTAAAGTAGATAGCTGCTTCTGGAAAAGAGAAATTCTTTATGCTGCAACTTGATTTCTCCTCTCAGCAGGATCTCAGTGCTCTTTAGGTGCTGGTGAACACAAAAGGGAGCCCACCCTGATCCATAACACATGCTGGGGAGTAGACACACTGCTGTATGACTTGTCTGTAGTGTGGGTGCATTTACTCACACCCTGGCCGAGATCCACATTGTGCTAGGTGCTGTACAACCTGGGTCCTGAGGCAGTTCCCCTAGGGAGCTTACAGTCCTGGTGGTGTATGATTACTGCCAGCTCAGTGTGTGTCCTGAGCCTGACGGACCGCCTCTCTTCAGTGGCTGTGACGAGCTGTTGTCGAAGTACTTGTTTAGTCTATTTTCAAGCCAATTTCACCTCTTCTGCATCGTATCCTTTGGCAGGCAGTTCCACAGATCTATTGCGTGTTGCATGGAAAGCCACCTCCTGTTTTTGTATCTGGAAACAAGGACTTAAGGAGAAAATAAAAGGGCAGTTGCAAATGGCAGATCTTTTATAGCCAAGCAGTCTCATATTGACCCAGACCTATTTATACGGTCTCAGGTTTCTGGGGTGCTGAGCAGAGGTTGTCTCCTTCCTCTTCTCTGCCACTTCAGCAAGTCATCTCCTGTGCATGAGGCATGGTCGTGGCTGCACGTCTCCCCCTTACCCTTGCACAAGGATCAGGAGTGAATTGGGGAGCACAGACTCATGCCCTCTGTCACCCACTGCCAGTTTTGGAGGGACCTTTGCGCCTTGGGGCTGCTTGGACATCAGGGGGCCAAGCCCACCCTGTATCTTTTGACTCATCAGTTGTTGCTCAAAGGGAAAACTGTTTTTTCAGAGAAGGATGGATGGGATGGGGAGGACCTGGTGGCCTCAAATGCTAGAGGCTTTCCTGAGGGCTTGTCAGGAAAACCTCAGCCCAGCTTGGCCCATTGCAAGCCCTCAATGGCTTCTCCCACACAGCTTGCTTGTGCTTCTGCCACTGACTCCTCTTCTGTTGTCCTTCCAGCTGGTGCCCTTCGAACTCACGAATGTGGACTATGTGATCTTTAACTTCTGCGTCAGGGGAATGTTTGCAGATGGGGTCACCTCCTTTCTCAAGATGTTGTAAGTATAGTCTGGAACGGTTTGGTGTGATCGGTGCCTTTCTATGAAATCCTCCCTAGGGTCTGGTTAGCGTCCAGATACAGGCAGCAGATCTACTGGATGTAGATAGTGGCTGATAAGCACTGGGATTTACTGGGGAGCTTACCGTTAAGCAATTCAGCTGAACCTTGGGTCTGTTTGGGAATGTTACCAGCCTTGACAGATGAAAGGAAACTGGGTGCTGATATCCTATAAATACTGTGAGAATCAGAGGAGCCCAGAGGAATGGAGCAAACCTCTTTTTGTCACTTAGATACGCTGTTCAGAGGGGTTGGCCTTGTGAAAGCTGATTACTGTGATTGCTTCCTAACACTGCTCAGCTAAACACCCTTTTCTCTTTCAGCAAAGGGGAGCTGGAGAAAAGCAGCATGGGGCTGTTCTTCTGGTTGGCAAAGTCACCAAACTGGCTAAAAAGTGTCCTCTCCTGGATTGCCAAACCCTTCGTAAGGTCCATTCCTTTCTAGCATAGATGGAGTTAAGCAATAGGTGGTGAATAACTTGTCTCCCATTGCAGTAAGGCTTTATCATAGAGAAGTCTCTAGGCGTTGCTTCCTGGCTGTGCTTAGACACATCTCCAAACTGGAGTGGTGCTACTTCTGTTCATCCTCTGCCCACTTTGGGGAAAATCCACGAGTCCTGCCTGAGCACTGAGTCAACAGTTTGTATTTGTGACAGAGCTGTCTCAGAGGACAGGGCTGGGATTAATGGAAATTATTTTCTTTTTTTTACTTTCTACTTCTCAGGTGCCTCGATTTTCAGATATCGTAAGAAGTATGAGAGCAAAGTGAGTAAATCTGAGCCTGAGCCAATGTGTGAAGATTTGGGTTTCTCTTTTGGAGAGCAGCAGTGTTCGTTACGTTAGGGATACTGCCCCAACTGCATGCATCTGAGAAAATACAAGGCAGAAAACACAAGGGTGGAGCAAACTGAGAGCAGTTTATGTCAACACCATAACCCTGCAGGGTTTGGCAAACTGTTCTAGTACTGAGGATGGGAATGAGGACGGGGCCTCACAGCCTCTTGCTTAGGAACTGGATGAAGCTTGTGGGAATGAAATACAGTGTTGGCTTCAGCACTGGTTAATGCATCCGTCATGCCATGAGGTGGGGACCCCATAAGACAGAAGGAAGGTAAACGCACAGGGAAGGAGGCTTGCTCTTCCTTGCTGCAGTGTCAGTGTTGGGCAGTTAGTGGTGAGAAAGGACTCAAATCCCATAGCAGAGAGGGTGTATTTTGTGCTGTGCCTCCAAGGCTGTACGTCTGTCCCCATGTCAAAGGATCAGTCCGCCTCACGCAGCCTGGCTTTTGAGAAATGATGTGCCTGGGCTTCCACCTCCTCAGCACAGCGGCAATAACAGGGCTGGACACTTGTCAGGCCAAAGCAGCACTGCACCAATCTGCCTTTAGTCTTCAGCCCTCCATCGTGGGCAGAAGCAGAAATAAGACCCCCAGCCCTTCAGAGGAAAGTCAGGACCTTGCCAAAGTCCTCTCTTCCCTTGGCTGCAGCTCCAGGAGCAGAGCTGACCCATGCCCATCTGCTTTTTGATGCTCTTCCCTGCCCCTAAAGCTGCTCTTTGCAGCACCTCTTGATGCCTTTCATTGGTTTTGTTTCTTTTTTCAGCACAGTGGATGAAGTCTGGAGTCTTCATCATGAAATTGAGGTAAAGTATTGCAATTTGGGGTTAGATAGTTTTTGTTTTATTTCTTTTTGGGAAGAGGCAGATTCAGTACGCACCAAGGTTAGGAGATGATCAAGTCACTGGTGATGTGAGGTAAGAACATACATCACTCCTTGACAGATCTCACTTGAATGTGCAAGTTCTCAGCACATCTAAAGATTAGGATGACACATAGACACGTTCATGATCCCGAATCAGACCTGAAGTTTTTACTCCTACACTTGAAAACATTGGGCCATCAGCTGCAGCAGACTTGCTTTTATTTCCATTCTGGTTTCCTCAAGACCCATGCCCATGTCCCAGTTTGCCATGTGCCCCCACACTCAATCTTTCCCCACCTCCAGTTTTAGCAGGAGGGAGGGTGCTTTGTATGCTGGGAGGGCTGTTGGCCAAGCAGCAAAGGGTTGCTGGATTTTAGCAGGATCAGGCCTGATGTAGCCTGATGGCTGCTCCTGGGGAAGGGCCAGGAGCCCGGCTGGGCACCCAAGGAGAGCCTCAGCCAGTAGCCATGGGACAGTACATCCACCCACCAGTGCTTTTCCTCCTCAGGAGTTTTGCTACCAGTTCATCGCCCAGTGGAAAAAGCTGAATCTGGATGTCATGCTTTGTCCCATGCTGGGCCCGGCTCTCGGCATCGGCTACCCTGGGAAGCTCTCAGGTAGGACTGCTGATGGGGGACCTTTGCCTCCAGCATGCCCCTGCTGCAGCACTCCACCAGTATCAATGAGAAGCGTTCCTCCTCCTCCTCCCCTCACATCCCCAAGGCACTGGCCAGCAGTGGGAAGAGCCTCTGCTGCAGCTGCAGCCCCAGCCCGTGCGATACGCCCTGGATAACCCCCCCGGTGCATGTGGGAGCCAAGGGGCAGGTTTCCATCCCGCAGCCCTTGAGTTCCCAGTGCAAGCACCCCATTAGCTGGAAGCTCACGTACGCGGAGGGGGGCGAAGGCTTTCCCTGTGGTGGGCTGGCGCTGCGAGCTCCCCCTCTCCCCCAGTGGCAGTCAGCTACACCATGCTCTACAATGCCTTGGACTTCCCTGCCGGCGTGGTCCCTGTCACGATGGTGACAGACAAGGATGAGGAGGAGCTGAAGGGCTACCAGGGATACTTTCGGGACTGGTGGGACCGGACCCTGGCAAAGGTGAGTGGCGCCAGGTTCCCCAGGGGCGCAAGCATCCCCATCCCTTCCCCTGGACACCCCCCTGCCCTCTCCCCCTCTGTTTGTGCCACAGGCTTTTCGTGGCAGTGTGGGGCTGCCAGTGGCTGTGCAGTGCGTGGCCTTGCCATGGCAGGAGGAGCTGTGCCTCCGGTTCATGAAGGAGGTGGAGACCCTCATCCTGAAGAAAAACAGGCTCGTCTGAGTCCCGTGCGCTCGCCCGGAGCAGGATCCCAGCTAACGTCAGCGCAGGTCATCCTTTGGTCTGACTCACCCGCAGGACTCATGTTCCCCTCCACGAGGATGCAGTGATGGCTGGGCTGGCTACTGGCTTTGGGGTGCAAGGGGAAAGCAGGCAAGCTCTTTGGTCTGACTCACCCGCAGGACTCATGTTCCCCTCCACAAGGATGCAGTGATGGCTGGGCTGGCTACTGGCTTTGGGGTGCAAGGGGAAAGCAAGGCAAGCTCCACAGTGGTGGAGCACTTCCAGTCATTGTCCTAATACAGTATTTTTTATTACCAGAAAATCTGTTATTTCAGGTCTGTGTTTGTGTGTGGGTTTGGGGTGGATTTTAAGAACCCTCTCAACACCCCCAGGGAAGTATAAGAACATGATCTTTCTCTTACAAATGGGGTAACTGAGGCACGGGGACTGGTTTTGTCTGAGACATTCAGAGTGCTACTTGGAGTGCTGTAGGAAAAGGGATTTTCCCCTCCATTCTCTAGCTCCCTAAGGATGAAATCCAGTGTTTTCCCCACCGCAGACCAGCAATCCAAGGTCAAAGCTGAGCCTCCCTGCAGGCTTTGGCAAGCAGGGAGGGAGCTGGACTGCTTCCCACAGCGCAGGGCTGCTGGCAGCCTGCGCACCACAGAGGGGAAATTTGGAGTGATCATTAACTCCCATCTCCTTCAGAGACCTACTCCTGCTTTCCCCACAGCAGAGGTACGAAGTGCTTCAGCTCGCGGTATTGCATGTATAAAGCAGCATGCCAGGGTCGGACGGCCAGCTGGGCAGCCTGCCCTGCACACCCTCTCCTCCCGTTTGGTGGAGGGGGCCATGCCAGGTTTTCCAGTGGGGTTTTCCAGCCACTGGCAGCCGCTGACACCGGGATTGGCAGCGCCGGCTGCTCCGGCAGGTTTTCAAGGGTGCTCCAGAGAGGGATACCACAATGCAAAAGCGTTTTCCCAATGCAACAATGTCACAAGCAGATTGTAGCAAAGCTCTGGCAGGATTTATGTTTGGTTTTTTAAATGTATTATTGTTGTTTAAGCCAGAATCATGCAAAAGCATGGGATCTTTTTAAGGGCTGAGCAGAGAGGTTTATCCCAGCCTAGGAGAAAGCAGCCCCCGGGACTCTGATTCTTTATCAGCAGGCTTTGAAAAAAGGAGGGGGGGAGCTCCAGGCATCCCAGGACTGAATGCTATGTAAAGCCAAGCCTCAGAAGAGCTTGGGTGGGGTTTTTCACCAGTGCAGGTGCTTCCTGCCCGCACGGAAAATGCTGGATGGGGTTTATCTCTTTGCATTTTAAAATTCAAGCCTGGAGGAGCTTGTCCTAGGAGAGGCAATGCCACCTGCGCCCATGCTCCCAGAGAGCCAAGCACTGCATCACTCTGTTAGTTTAACCGCTCTCTCCCTGGCACGGAGGTGGGCAGGGTGCAGGAGTCCAAACAACGGAGACACCAGTGGACCTGAACCAGTAAACTGGAAGCCCTGAGCAAAAACCTCCCCTGAGCCATGCCCACTGCCATGGGACAGTGCACCGGGCAGGGCCAAAGCTGCTGTGTGGCTCTGGGGACTTGAGGTTGCCAAAAAGGGCCAGCTGCAGACTGCTCCCAGCCCAGCCTGGACAGAGGGAGGTCAGTGTGAATGGCAGCACTGAAGCTTAAGGCTGGGATGGGGCAATGAAGACCACATCCCCACAGTCAGTGGGGAGAGGTTGGTGACATCCACATTGAGTTGTTTGGCTCTTTTTGCTCTCCATCCTGGCCAAACAGGGAGGATCCTCCTTGCCTTTCCAGTCAGCAACCAATTTCTCTATGAGGTCTTGCTGCTTCCCCGAGCTCCCTCCCTGCTGCCGCAGGAATAATCCCATGGGATGTGTCTGTAACAGGCAAGGTAACATGATAGCAGCACGATCACTGGCTTTCAGTCCCCAAACAAGACATCTCCACCAGAGAGCAATGATTACCTTGGATGCAGCCTCCTTACAAGCTCTGCTACCCTACTTTGTGGAGCAGAGCCAGCATCTCTCCAGATATGGCAATGCTGCCTTGCATCTTGACAATGAATTTTCAGAGACGTCTCCTGTTCCTTCCCTGTAGGCTTGCAGACCCTCAAGGTTTGAGAGCAGTTTGATTTTTTCAGTCCCTCCTTTCTGTACTCTTGGGGACAGTCCCATGGGTGGGAGCACCTGTGGCAAGGGGCAGCTCCCAGGGCTAGCAAGGCTGCATAGTCCAGCTCCTTTGCCTTGTGCTGTCTGGAAGGTGGCTTAGAAACTGGAGAGCAGATAGGATACTGGGTCCATCAGAGAGGATTTCCCAAAAGTGCTCACCCCCTGATCTGGCTTGCCAAAATGTTTTTCAAAGGGGCTTGGCTTGAAAATTACACAGAGCAGTCATACCCCTTGAAGGCATCTTCAGATAGGTCCTTCCACACTGCCTTTCCCGAGTCACTGTGTCCTGCTTGCACCTTCATACTCTTGGCTCTCCTGAGCTCCCTCTTCTCCAATAGGTGCAATTTCACCCCCTGCACCAGGTTCCCCAGGACAAACAGAGCTACGTTGTCCCAGGCTCAAAAGGCTGCACATGCTGCTTCCTGAGGGACAGAGATGATGGCTGAGCACCTCTAGTTAATGGGCTTAAGTGCTAATTAATTATTAGATGTGGGTGTAGTAGGGATAGCCCAGACCTGGGTTTTGCAGACATTCAGCTTTGTTAATCAGCTCTGTCCCCTGTGTGTAGCCAGGTACAGCAGCAGCCAGTGGCTTGGGCAGACGCAGCCTTGGGGGACAACCCCGCTCCAAACCCAGCGTGAGCTGAGCACACTGCTGTGCAGCCCAACCCACAACGCTTCTCCAGCAGGCAGACCCTTTCAAAGTCCATGGTCTAAAAAGTCCATTCCTGGACTTTGTTAATGCAACTCTGCTTCAGAGCTGATCTTGCACAGCAGGCGATTGCATAGTCTGCATTCATCAGCCCTGCTTAGGAGAAGGTGGGAGACCTGGGTGTCCGTAGCTGGATCAGAACAGAAAGGACTGGGAGAGAAATCATGACCCAAGAGCGACTGTGGCAGGTCCTAGATCCATCATGGGGAGACCCTCGCACCCTCTCGGCCCTGCTCTGCAGTTCAGCTGCAGCTGTTGTGCTACTGAAATGGCTGGCACGTAGGCAGATCCAGCAGAAGATGGAGGAGGCGAGGAGGACACGGGATCTGGCCCTGGAGCGAATGGAGAAGGCAGCTCACAGGTTTAAGCAAGAGGTAATTTGGGGGAAAGCGTGTGTGGGAGGAAGGGATTGTATTTTGGGTAACCAAAGAAATGGGGGAGTGCTGATCAATCCCTCTTTGAATGGTGGTTAGGGCATGTGCACGTTTTGGATCATGACCAATTTTTTGAGGGTCACCACCCTCCAGTGTCACAAAAAAACCTCCCGTAAAGACAGCGTAAAGGAAATATTTCTTAATACAGACCTGTTGAGGGAATCCTGAGGATGAAAGATGGATTGGAGTTTGGGACCCTCTGAATCAGATCACCACCCCAGACCTCCCTATGCCCTTTTCTCCTCATCCGTCCCTACTGTCAAGCCTTTCCTCTCCCATCCTCCTTACCCCTGCCTCTCCATAGGGACCTGTCTGCCCCACCATCCTCAAAGTACAGGGAGGGCTTCACATCCCTCCAACATCCACACATGGATGACCAAAAGCCATTTCCTCCTGCTCATGCCCAGGTAAAGAAGCACCTGGATTTTTAGGAGGTCAGGTCCTTGGATTTGGGATTTGTCTTAAACCCATAATAAATAAGTACTGCTATTCTTTTCTTAGGGGCGAGGTTGCAAGCAGCCCACACACTTCTTTTCCCATGTTAATGATAAATTTTGTAAAACTTTAGCTGGTTGAACTGCTATTCAACACATTGTCTGTGAGTTAGAAGGGGGGTGAAGGCCTGCAGGAGAGTAAACAGAGACAGGTCAAACCTCTCTTACAGGTTCATGCAACTCTCCAGTCAAGAAGCAGTTTTCTGCCTGTTTTGGTTCTGTTTTTATGAACTAAGACTCAGCAAATTCCCCACTCCAGCACATGCGGTGCTACGTGGGAGGTCTGCACTTCAACAGGGAACGTCTCCTAAAATTCTCCATTCAAGGTCATTGCCGGGCAGATGTTAGAATTGGTATTTGCAGCCTCAACATCAGCCTTTTCTGTCGTTTCCTTCCCTCTGCACCCAATTTCCTACCCTTTGCAGAATCCAAGCACCCAGACTGCACATGTCCTCTCACTGACAATGGTGGAGCTGGTGGAAAAGCTAAAGGAGGGGTCCCTGTCCCCAGAAAGTGTCCTCTACTCCTACATGGGCAAAGTGAGTGATACCTCCAGCATGGGAGAGATGCTGCGGGGCTTTTCTGCAGTGGGGGCTTTCAAATCAAAATAACAGCTCATTTGCTGAGAGAACCGGCAATGCTGGGGATTACAGTTTGTCAATACTGTGATGTCTGAAGGGTGGCTTATGGGCAAATAGGTAGGACAGAGATCTAGGGCAGAAAGTTATCCCAGCAAGAAACATCTAAAGTTTATAGGTAAGGTCTGAATAACGAATGCTGGAGGTTTGAGGAGGTTGAATTTTCAGCTTGAAAACTCAATTTAAATACTGTTTCCTTCCTTCCATCCATTCATATGTCTTGCTACTCTTCTCTGTTCTGGAGAGGCTTTGGAGGTGACTCGGGAGGTGAACTGCGTGATAGACTTCATTCATGGCTGTGAGGATCAGCTCCAGAAACTGAAGAAGCAGAAGGAGAAGGGGCTGCTCTATGGCATTCCCGTCAGCATCAAGGACCACATTAACTGCAAGGTACATTTCTAATTTGCCTACCTCTTGGCCTGGGGCTGGGAACAGGCCAGGATGTCCCATCCTCATCAGGACTGGCTAAGAGTTCCCTCAGACAAGGGTGTTCTGGACCAAATATTGTGGGACCAGCAAACGTGCCTTTCTTCTGATGAAAATTTTGTTTTCTGCAGAAATTTCTAACCTCCTCTGATCTGGTTTTCCCTGGGGTAGTCAGGTCCTGTTCTGCCTGTGAGAAAAGTTAGGTGGGAACTTTGTCACAGGAGGCATCAGGACTTATGTCTG